TTTTACAATGCTGCATCTGCCGTGTCTTTAAACATTCGGTTTGGGATGGTGTGGGGCTTCTAAGGAGAATGCCTATCATTGAAACCCAGATTTTGCTACTTTGCATCTCGGAAAATGTGGGGCTCCCTACCCGGGCCCCCTCCGGATCCGCCGGCTCTCTCCACGGTCCCCCTGCCCGGTAGACCTCCCGCAGGTGGCCCCGCGGATCCCCGCCCTCCCCTCTCCCCCTTCCTCCCTGCCCCCTCCCGCCGCCCCCCGCCCCGCCCGCCGCAGCCCCCAGCCCTGGCCCCGCCCCGCGCCGCCGCTCCGCGCGCATTGGCGCCGCCGCTGTCAGTCTGCGCCCTGGGGAGGGGGCGCCGCGGGCTGCGGTCCCTCTGCGGCGGCTGCTGCTCCGGTGCGCCCGCGGCTCCCCGGCTGCCTGGGCGCCCGCCCTCTCCCCCGCACGGAGCGGCGGGGACCCCTGGCCTCGGACCCGGCGCCATCGGTAAGTGGAGGAGGACGAGGAGGTGGCGGGAGGAGAAGGTGCGGGCCGGTGTCCGGTCCCCGCTGACCCTGCGCGGCGGCGAGGTGGGCGGGAGGAGCCCCCGCACCCCGGACCTGCGCCCCCGGAGACGGCCGGGGTGAGAGGCCGGGAGGTCACTGGTCCGCACGGATCTCCCGCCAGCGCGACCCTCCCGGGCTGTGCCCAGCCTGCCCGCTGCCTGACAGCTCGCCCTGGACGCAGGGGTTGCGGTGGATTTTTCCTCTTCGCCCTATACCGGAGGGGAAGGGACTGGGGTTCCTGGTTGTGCAGAGAGCTGGAAGCTGGGTTATCTGTCGCACGCCCCCGGCACTTTCCTTTTTGAGTTTATCCCGAGCTGAGCTCCTGCCAGAAGGCTCCCCCCGCCGAACGAGGCGCCTTCCTCCGAGGGAGCGCCTTCCTCCGAGGGAGCTCCGCGGCCCGCAGCTGCCGCCGGGGAGTCACCGCTTTCCCGGGGAGTGCTCGCTCTTCCCTCCGCGCGGCTCCGCTTCCAGGGGAAGGGGGCAGGGGTGTTCCCTGGGGCTTTAGTCTTTCGATTCTATCCGGAAACGGTAAGCGGTAACTTTAAGCTGAAGGAGGAATCGCTTGCAGCCTAACATTCTGCAAAGTTTTAATGTCTACAGACTGCATGTCCCCCATTGCAGTTAGGTTTTTGTTTGTCTTGTTTCTACAGTGAGAGGGAGTCATTCACATGAGCTTCTGGAGCAGCTGTTCCTGTTAGGTTCAAATGATACATTCCCACACGTGATCGATCTCTCATTTCAATATTTTTTAAAAAATATATCTTATTGATTTTTTACAGAGAGGCAGGAAGAGAGAGAGAGAGCTAGAAACGTCGATGAGAGAGAAACATAGGTCAGCTGCCTCTTGCACACCCCCTACCGGGGATGTGCCCGCAACCAAGGTATATGTCCTTGACCGGAATCAAACCTGGGACCTTTCAGTCCGCAGACCGACTCGCTACCACTGAGCCAAACCGGTTTCGGCTCTCATTTCAATATTTCTGTTAGTTATATATCCTCTGGTTAATAGAAGTTTTCAGGAGCCGAGAACTCACAAGAGGTGAGACCACTTAAAGAAAGCTCCAAACAGCTGTGGGTCCAGTACCGATAGAAGCATTCAATGAAGAGGGACACTTACATGTTCCTATTTAAGCTCCATTTTTGCTATCAGAGGACTGTCTTGCTGTCAGAGGCATGTAGTATGTAACACCCAACTTTAGGAAACGCTTAGATCATAAACTGATTTTCAGAGTTCCAGTTCCTTATGTGGCTCACAGAAGCAAGAACTACCCAAGGGAACCTTCAACCGTGAAAGATTTGCATGAAAACAGCCCAAGGGATGAGTCCCTTTGCTTATTTCAGGACTGGAATTCATGGGGTTTTTGTTAGATGATTACCCCGCCGGACCTCTGTTTGTTGGTACCATCATACCATTCTGTGGGTTAATTTTTAAATATATCTTTATATTTAAATCTAACTAACCAGTTTGCCAGTTGTAAAGTTTATTATTTACATTTGGCTTTCGAATTAGTTCCAGAACCAAGAAAATAAAATCTAAGAATTTCAAAAGCTTAATTTTTAAAATAGCAAGAACTCAGTCTAATCTTGATTCAATTATGAGTTGATGGGCTACATAGTCTATATATATAAAAGCCTAAGCAACTGTTCAACCGGTAGCTATGATGCACTCTGACCACCAAGAGGCAGGTGCTCTGACCAGTAGGTTAGCTTGCTGCTTGGGTCGGGCTGATCAGGACTGGGCAAGATGGGCCAGACATACTCTGGAGCCCTCCCTCTGCCCCTCCCTAGCCCCGATTGTGCACTGGTGGGGTCCCTCAGCCTGGCCTACACCCTCTCACAATTTGGGACCCCTCGGGGGCTGTTGGAGAGCCAGTTTTGGCCCAATCCTCGCAGGTCAGGCTGAGGGACCCCACCGGTGCACAAATTCGTGCACCAGGCCTCTAGTGGTTAAATAACCATTGAACATTTTTAAATTTTTTTGACTAATGAAAGTAGTACAGATTAGCATCTTTAAACAATTAATTTTTCTGATGAAACTCTTAAAGCTCAATTTCAGAGCATGGGTTTCAGAAACAATCTTGGGTGGAATCTGAGCTCTGTTACCTCCTAGCTGTGTAATCTCGGCCACGTTGCATAACTTCTCTAAGCCTGTTTCTTTGTAGCCGGCGATACCACCACCTACTCACTTTGTAATGTGGGGAGGATTAGAGATGTATACAAAAGTGCTTAGCACTTCCAGAAGTTCCTCAGTAAATGTCAGCGATTACTATCGTTTGCTCTTGCTGACCTTCAACTATGAGCTCATTATGGAAAATGTTTGAACAGCAAATACTTAGAAAAAATGTATACAACTAAATTTAAGGGTGGCGAGTCATAGCGATGTTACATTTCCCCAGAGTATGTATGAAAAGCAGCACTTCCTTGGCAGAACTTACATTTTTAGAACAGAAACCTTATGGTATAACGGAAAGAGCATTGGAGAGTCAGAGTCTTCAGTGCTAACTCTGGCTATGACCTTACCCAACTATATGGCTTTCCAGGCTAACTGTCCATTACGATGCTCAATTTCTTCATCAGACTGGACTTGATTAATCTCAAAAATCTCTAAAATCCTTTTCAGCTTCAGAATTCCTGATTGCATGCAATAAAAATTACACTAGCTTGCTTATCACCATCATTCTTTGTCTGTTTAACTTGCAATTCAGAGCCATAAACAAGCCATAAAGACAGCACAACTAGCAATGGCCCCTTGTAGCTCCACTCACGCATCAAAAGGTCACCAGTTTATTTATTTACTTTTGGAAAATGGCCATGCATCTGCTCTTTAATGTTTCCTACCATATATTAAAATAAAAACTAAGTTTCAGTCTCTTCACAAGTAGTAATTTATATTCTCTGGATTCTCTTTTCTAATTTTTGCTGCAGCTTCTGCTTTGTAATCAGATGGACAGTTGTGCTTGTCAAAGTAATGGTGAAGTCCACAAAACAAATTTCCTCATCAGCAGTCGAACCCAGTAAGGCCAGCTTTCTTTCTTCACATGAAACATCTATTCTTCTTCGGTTTGGGTAACTGGGAGCTTTTTCTTCGCTTTGAAAAGTACAGGGTTGCGAAACTGATGAACTGGGCTGAGTGACAACCGGCTCTGACACCTCTGTCTTCGGGGTAGTCATTTTGTCCTCTCTTGAAACGCTCATTTCTGTCCTTTGCTGAGTTACAGGCAAGGCAGCCGCAGGCACATTTCTTGGTTTTTCAGATGTGCTGCCAGCAGCACCTTCAGAGTTGTTTAAACCAGCGTCTGCTCTTTGCACAGATGCAGAATCTGAGGTAGGGCTATTGGAACCACTAGCTGCCCCCATTGGGCTCATTCTGCCGCTATTCTGTGCCTCTGAAGATGCTCTTTGTAGCAAACAGAACACATTCCATTTGTCCTAGGATTCCCATAAAAGCCACATCCTGTACTGCACAGCATGGGCCCTGGGGTCTGGTTAGTCTCCTGAGCCGTATTTTTCTGTGGTTGCATCACGGTGCACGCCGGATATGGGTGTGAGATAGTTCGACGTGTCCCTGTGTCTCTCCTCCTCTGTTTCTCTCCAAGGTCACCAGTTTAATTCCTTGGTCAGGGCACATACCCAGGTTGCAGGCTTGAACCCCGGACAGGGTACATACAGAAGGCAACCAGTTCATGTCTCTCTCCTGGATGTTTCTCATTGATCTCTCCTCCCCCTTCCTCTCTCTCTAAAATCAATAAAAATATTTTTTTAAATAATAACATCAGATTTGTAGAAACAATCCAAAAATGAAGTTTTAACAAAAACTAGAGCAAAATGTATTTACATTGAATTTTTTTTACAAGGTAAAAGTTAAGCCTCAGACCTGGCTGATATAGTTCAGTTGGTTGGAGCACTGTCCCATGCACCAAAGTGTCCCAGATTTTATTCCTAGTCAGGGTACATACCTGGGTTGCAGGTTCGATCCCCAGTTGGGGTGAGTATGGGTGAGTAGGAGGCAACCTATGGATTTTATCTCTCTCTAAAATCAATTTTAAAAAGGTAACATCAGTTTTTATTCTCCAGTCATTTTCAGTAAGTTATAATATGGGAAACATGCCTGGTAGAATCATACGCATTCAATGGAAATTGTCTGTAGAAAACAACAGGTTGATGGTGAAATAAAATATTTTATCTTCTCTTCTCTCACCAGGTTAATCTTTAACTAAAACCAAGTCTGTCAAGTAAAGGGCTTTCATGAAGAAATGAAAGAGAGAAATTACAAGTACTAGAGAAACTAAGCATTTGCCTACTGGAGAAACCACCTCAAACAACTGTGTGGAATCAGAAGAAAGGAGTGAACACACCTGGAAGAAATTTTGCTGAGGGTGACCCTTTTGCCCAGCTTCTTGTCGTAATCGGCTGCTAAGGAAGAGAGAATACCCTTTTCGAGAGAGTGTGTTGTAAAAATGGAGACCCCAGTTTCTGACATTCAAGTAGAAAGCAAGGATGAGACGGGATCAGCAGAAGTTAGAGCTCGGGATGAGAAGCAGGAGGAAAAGGCATCGATGCTTTGCTTCAAGAGAAGAAAGAAATCAGCCAAAGCCACGAAGCCCAAAGCCGGCCCTGGAGCCGTGGTCACGGCCAGGGAGTGCGGTGCAGGAGCTGGAGCTTCTGAGCAGCCACAGCCCCCGGCGGGGGCCTGGGCCTCAATAAAACGTCTGGTGACGCGCAGGAAAAGGTCAGGCTCTTCAAAGCTGCAGAAGCCCTCCGAGGCCAACGTGCAACCTGAAGTCAGCGCCGAAGATGCTGATCTTCCTAAGAAAAAGGCGAAATCCAGACTGAGGATCCCCTGCATAAAATTCTCAAAGGGGGAGAAAAGACATCATCATTCCGAAATCATAGAAGATGCAGACTGCAGCGTCCAAGTTCAGGGAGAGGCAGAAAGGATGGATACAAAAACCCCAACCCAATCGGATGAAGACCAGGCAACAAAGACTCAGCTGAGCCAGGAAGTGAGTGGAGAGGTCGCACAGGACAAGGGTGATGAGGTCTGCGAGTCAAATGTGAGCAACAGCGGAACTTCTCCTGGAGAGAATGTGATTTCGGTAGAACTTGGGTTAGAAAAGGGGCATTCTGCTATTCACACAGGAACTCTAACCCTTGAACAAGACATTGAAACAGCGGAGGAAAAGCCGGGTGTCCAGCCCCAGCGGACAAGCCCACCGGAAACTTCAGAAGCAGAACATCAGCCACCGGTGGTTTCTGATGCTCTGCGCTCACCTGCAACCCCAGATCAACACAGCGCGGAAGAAGCCAGAAACGGTGTCCTGGAAAGTGAGCCAAATGGGAAAGGCCAGGAAAGTGGAGAGATTGTAGCTGAGGAGATGAAGCCAAAAAATGATGTGTTGAGCCAGGAACCCGATTTTAAAGAAACCGAGGTCAGTGCAGAGAAACCCAAACAGGAAGAAAACAAAAGAATGGAGCCCATTGCTATTATTATCACAGACACTGAGATTAGTGAATTTGATGTGAAGAAATCGAAAAATGTCCCCAAGCAATTCTTAATCTCAATTGAAAATGAGGAAGTAGGGGGTTTTGAGGGGAGAACTTCAGAACAGTATGAAACACTCTTAATGGAAACAGCCTCCTCTCTTGTCAAGCACGCTATCCAGTTGTCCATAGAACAGCTGGTTAATGAAATGGCCTCTGGGGATAACACAATAAACAATCTTCTACAGTGACTCCATTCCCAGAGCATGGGAGGGGGGAAACGTTTCACGATGAGTTATTTTACATAATCGTGGCATTTCTTATTCGTTAACCAATGAGAGATTTTCATCTGGGGAATCTAAAGGCACAACCTCAGCCCAGAAGTGTTGAAGAATGAATCCAGTTTATGAAACTCCGCCTACCACTAAAACGCAGCCAGCTACTTCTGGATGGAGGATGTCAGTGCAGACCACAGTAGCCAAGTGGCATAAAAGGAGTTGCTGAGATGGCAGGTGAAGATGTATTCACTGCGCACTTACAAGATGGCATCATCTCTTTTTGGTCCTCTGATGTCACAGAGCCTGGTTTCCTTCTGATGTTCAACTCTGAGTACAGGTTAACATGACATTCAGTTTTCAGAACCTTTTTGTTACAGTGCACATTTATCTTGTTTAAAATGGTGAGTAAGGTGAGCTCTTTTTTTTGGTGTGAATGTGTTATTTATATTGTTAGACTCCTAGGCAGTAGTTTTATCTTCAAAAACATTGTATTTTCCCAATTTCAGCAGAATGTGCAGAATATGCAGTCAAACTTGAAACGTGGATGGTCTCTAGTCTTGCTCAAGTCCCTCACAAAAGCCATTCACGAATGTATCCAACAGGCAAATCATTACCAAGTGCCATGATGTGGGAACACAACACGGAGAGCATTCTCCCTCGCCAACTTCCTTCTGCCCCAAACAGACTTGTATAAATCCATGTCTGCAGGGGATCCTCCGCTGAGAAGGTTCAAAACAAAACAAACAAACAAAAACTAAACAACAGCAAGAGCAAACAGGAAAAGAGTGAAATGTTCCTTTCCATCCGAGAGAGAAAAACTTCCCAGGTACCAAGTCACCACAGAACAAGGATTCCTTTGCAGGCTGACTGCTCCCGAGACCTCACTCCTCAACTCTCCTCAGAAAGTCATAATCAGCAAAAATATTACTCCTGATCAAGAATGAGCCAAGTACAAGATTGAATAGAAAGTAAAACATTGCTAAAGCACAGTATATTTTAAACATCCGTATTCTTTCATTGTGCCTGTGTGTTGAGACACTAGGAAAAAACATTTCACATGGACATTGGAAATTACATTCTTCATCATTTTTTTACAGTACAGCTAATTAATTCCTTACAAAAAAAATGAACTTATAACAATGAGAAGGGCTTATTTGCATTTTATTCAGTTACTGAACTCATCCATCTAATCAGTGATTGCCATCCTTTTTGAAAAAGGGGTTCTATTTCAATCTTTTCTTGTGGCCATACTACTATAATGTACTTCCTTACCTCTCAGGTTGGGCTTCCGACTGTACAGTCCCCCACTGTTCAGGTTGAGTGACAGTGTTACTCCGAAAGTAGGTAAGTAAGGAAGAGCTTTCACTGGAGTTGTACAGTGTTTGCCAAAGAGCATTTGTACATTCCTGGGGGAGGAAGGGTGGGAAAAGATGTACAGGAGATGATTTTAAATGATCTTGTGACTTCGTGAATTATATTTATGGATTGCATATAGGAAGTATGTGCTAATTTGTTCTGTATAATCCTCTTTCTTCCCTCCTGTAAGTACGTGTTGAGACCTCTGGCAGAGTAACCTAATCTGCCTTTGGAACTGTACTATTATCAGTGAGAATCTTTGCTGAGAAGCATGAAGATTTTCCTACCTTCATGCTTGTAAACTTCTGGGCAACCCACCCAAATCCTTCCGCCAACAAGACGAAAAGTGGATCTTCCAAAACACATGACTCAGAACACCAATTTCTTTTACTTGTTTAACTTTTAAACATTCTTTTAAAAGATGGCTGAGTCATCCTCCCTAAACATATTTCTTTTTAGTTTACTATATGTGGTGCTAATGGATGTGGACAGCTCCCAGCAAATATCCATATAGTTAAAAGTGAACAATTTAGAAAACCTGACTGAGGTTGGTACATTTTACAGTGTTTTTGAAGAATCCTGCCTTCATTTTTACTGCAAGATGGCTCAAGCCAATACCTTGCATTATAAGTTTTTAATCTCTCATAATTGAGCAAAAAGTACACCACTTAGTTATTGAAAATAGTTTGAAAGGTTTAGGTGTATTTATTTAGGAGTTTTAAAACTGGATACTAGGTAAATATGTGTAATGAACTTTTTGTTAAGAAATTAACCTTTTATCTAGTGCTGTGTTTCTGCCCCCACCCCCACCCCACATTGTAGTTTGATATATATTTTTATTAGAATATTATAATAGTTTTTATGACAAGTGTACTCTACCTGCACTCATTCTTTTTTTTTTTTTTTCTTCAATCTATTTTTATTGATTTTAGAGAGGAAGGGAAAGGGAGAGATAGATAGAAATATCAATGATGAGAGAGAATCATTGATCGGCTACCTCCTGAACACCCCTTACTGGGGATCAAGCCTGCAACCTGTCATGTGCCCTTGGCTGGAATCGAACCTGGGACCCTTCAGTCCTAAGGCTGATGCTCTATCCACTGAGCCAAACCAGCGAGAGCTACTTGCACTCATTCTTAAGTGGTTTTTCCTCAATCTTTGCTACTGAAAATATCTGGTGAATTAATAAGTAGGATTCCAGTTTGAAAAAGAAATCAAGATATTAATCGGTTTCAACCTGATTATATCTTTCATGTGCAAAATCCTACTACAGTGAATTCTAAGGTGATCCAAATTGTTTTGTTGTTGTAGAAATAATTTGGAATCAGATGACTTAGAAATCTCTCAAAACTTTTTATTATAATGGTATTTTAAGCAATTGGACTGTATATGTATGGCATTAAATGAATATAAATAGGTTCTTATTCATTCACAATCCTTTAACAACAGTAACATGATCATGTAAAAGGCAATTTATAGCACATTTTCATTTAAATTTGCTGTGGTTGAAGTGTTGTCTTTAGTGAACATTTATTAATTAGTGGGATTCAGTTTCTCTTTGAACTCAGAAGTTTTCAAGCTGGTTGGCTTACTGGATGCTTGTTAAGTTTTCAGCATCATCTTCCCCCCTTTTAAGAATCAAGTGTTTATTCAATTTGCTTTTCAACCCAGAGAATATGAAACTCTCCTCTAGTTTATGTAGCATTTTTCACTTAACATTTCCTTACAGAACTTTATAGGACATAAAAATAGCATCTGGTAGCACTTAGGTAAAGGTAGCAGAAAACAAAAGAACTTCCAAACAGAAATTATGTTCCCTGCCACCTCCTCCATTTCAAAGAATAACAAACACGTGGCACACATGGAGTTCTTCAGAAAAACTGCATCATTTTCTTCCAAGGTAATCTATTTGACAGCTCAGAGTCTGTGATGATCTTAATTGGCCTTCTATTTAGTAGAGTCTTAGAAACTGATTTATTTCTGAGAGACTGTTTTTTTCACCATTATGTGTGAATAGCCTTCCCGCTAAAGACTTTTAACGATAGGGGTCATAACAGGACATGCAACCCTGAGTTAACTTCATCCATTTCTAACTTCAAGTTGCCTTATTTTTTGCAGTTAAGAAATATGTTTTTCAGGGTTAATAGCAGAATTTTTTTTTAAATTGTTAAACTTTAGAATCCCATTGTTTGAAAAGATCCTTTTAATGTCAACTTTACTCAACCTTGTAAAAGTCTTTCTAATTTTATCTGACACTTAATTCATCAGTTGACTTTCCTGCCCATCATTTAACATTTAGAGAATTCTTTACAAATTCCTATGTTTTATTGTATGACATGACGTTTCTTATTTTACAGAATTCAAAATTTCAATGCATAGACTTTATGGTACATTTCTTAAAAGAATTTTTGTAGTGATCTCTATTTAGTTATAAAAATGTAACAGAAGGAAACGACATCAAATTTAGATGTCCCAATTAAATTCAACTTGATGCAACCTGTGTTGGGTATAACATACGCCAAACACTTTGATAAAGGGGACAGGCTGCCTGCCCTCCAAGAGCATTGTCAACCAAGGGAGCAGTCCGTACAGCCTCTGAAACAGGAGTGAAGGCAGAGAGGCCCCAGGTAATGAAGGCAGCATTACCAGTGCCTTGGAGGGGAGAATAAAGAGAAAAACAATTTTATCTGGTGTGGGAAGTGGCCATAGAAATACAGGGGCGGCTTGAAAGCATTCCGCTTCTAACTAGTTAAACAGTATATTCCTTCTGGTTTGTGAGCAGGTGCAGAAAAATGCCTGCATAATGTTACATATTTATAGTAGTTCTTTGTCTGTAAAATGTTAAGTGGGTGAGCTGTTATAAAAAGTTCCATATTGTATTTCTCATTAAAATCAGTACTATTATTACTGTGGATCAGATGCTAATATTCAAGAAGTAATCCTCTAGTAAAAAGGTTTCGACCTGAATTAATACGTGTGCTGACTGTTAATATAGAATAAATGTCATAATGGCTCATGTTTATTTTACTTATTCAAATCTTTGAAGAGAAGCATGGTATCTGACTTCCATTTCCTGAAACTGTGAGGATCAATCACACTGATGAAAATACTGAGTTTACACTATAAGTAAGTTCTACTCTGCTGACTGGGTGTGGGACAGACATGCCTAAGAAGAGCCCACCGCCAGCAAAGACATAAACACCTAAACTTTGAATTCAGTTTCATTGACCCGATTCCATGGAAAGGGCGATTCTGACTGGTGTCTCCTATAGATTTGACAGAGGTGTACATATTTTCATCACCTCTTGCTATATTCACTGTTCCTACTTTATTTTAAACTACAAATTGTTAATAATCTTTATGGCTTTCTAAATAGCTAAGCAATCTTGACACAAACATGCTTAAATTATTCAGATGATGCCTGCTATAGCGGAGTGTTTCAAAAGTTCGGAGTGTTGCCCTGGCCTGTGTTTTCGGTGGTTAGAGTGTTGGCCCGCACACAGCAGGGTCTCAGCTTCATTCCAGGTCAAGGGAATGTATGTAGGTTGCAGGTTTGATCCCTGGGTTCATGCAGGAGGCAATTGATATCTCTCTCTCTCTCTCTCTCTCTCTCTCTC